CTTGCAGTTAAAGAATAATTGATGAGTTTATTCAGCGCAGTAAATACGTGTTTGTGTCTGTACAGAGTCAAAGCTCAGGGCTGCATGGAGGGAAACGAGTGTATTTCAATTGATCTTCGCCCTGATTGGTATTCCTTCAGCACCTTCCCTCTGGAAGTCAAGCCCATTCCCTCCCGAGTGGGAGCACAGCCTGGGCTCCCCTTGGAGGCTCCGTGGCTCTCCCCACGTGCTGTCTCCCCATGGGTTCAGCAGAGCAGGCACAGCCAGCACTGATTGCTGCTGCCAGCGGGCAGTGCCATGGAAACTGATGGCGGGGGCTCCAGCCAGCCCAGCACGCGCTCTGAGCCTCCAGCTCGGCTGGATCTCACCCTTGTGCTGCAGGGAGCGTGGCTAAAGCAGCAGCACCTCCACAATTATTGCAGCTCTTGCACTGAAAGGGTGGCCAGGCACAGGGAGGGCTGCCCTGGGCAGCGGCGGGGCCACCGTCCCTGCGAGGGGACAGCAGCGAGCAGAGTGTCACTTTGTGACAGGGCTTAGTGGGCATGGGGCAATTTGTCAAAGACTGGATTTGTCAAAGATCCTGGGGGTCTTTTCAGACCTCAAGGATTTCATGATTCACTGCCATTCAGCCTGTCCTGAATCCCAGGGATTTCTGAGCCCCAGGGATCTCAGAAGACAAGGACAAGTGTGGCAGTGCTCCTGTCCATGGCGGTGCTGTGCGAGGGCAGGCCCGGTCCCCATGGTGATGGCACAAGGGATGAGTGTCCCCATGGCTGCAGGAGGGTCTGAGCCCAGCTGGAAGGTCCCACAAACACCCCCTGCCCATCGGGGCCACGGTCACTGCGAGCAGAGTGTCACTTTGTGACAGGGCTTAGTGGGCATGGGGCAATTTGTCAAAGACTGGATTTGTCAAAGATCCTGGGGGTCTTTTCAGACCTCAAGGATTTCATGATTCACTGCCATTCAGCCTGTCCTGAATCCCAGGGATTTCTGAGCCCCAGGGATCTCAGAAGACAAGGACAAGTGTGGCAGTGCTCCTGTCCCATGGCGGTGCTGTGCGAGGGCAGGCCCGGTCCCCATGGTGATGGCACAAGGGATGAGTGTCCCCATGGCTGCAGGACGGTCTGAGCCCAGCTGGAAGGTCCCACAAACACCCCCTGCCCACAGGCCTCCTTGCTGAAAACAGAAGGCAATTTCTCCTCAGCATCCTGGCCTATCAATATGCATTGTGCGTATCAAAAATTAAGATCCATTTTGTCATTTAAATAAAATATGAGGACATTCCAGGAGCCAGATTGCATTTCAGTTCCTAAAGAGGCTCCTTGTGTTTCTGGAACACTCTATGGAAAACCAGGGTGAGCCAAGAGCTGTCCATGGCAGGGAGGTTGGACTAGGTGACCTCTAAAGGTCCCTTCCAACCCCTGGCCACAGAAAATTCTGAGCTGGGAGGGACCCACGAGGATCATCATGTCCAAGTCACAGGGAATGGCCCCTGCAGAGCCCACTGGTGTTCCCAGTGCCGGGCTGTGACCAGCTGAGCCCCCCCTCCATGGTTCTGTGACAACAATAAATGGTTATTCCAACACAGGACCCCTCACTTCACGTGCATCAGAGCACACTCGTGCCCAAGCAGCCCTGCCCCACGGCTTCGGGGCTGCCTCAGCCCAGGCACATCCAGCTGAGCAGAGCCAGGAGCACAGGGCTGAGGGGAGCCTCTCTCAGAGGCAGTCACTGCAGTCTGCACCGGCAGAAAAATATTTCTTCTTTAATTGGGCACTCTTGGAGGATGTTCGATTGCATAAAAAAAGAAATAAAGCATCTCGGTTAAACTCAAAGTAGTAAATTGCAGCTGGAAAAAGGAGGAAAAGCACCCATTTAGGGCAGTGCATCGTTTAGCCCCAGACTGAGTCCAACCCATAAGAGGGCAAGTGGCCCCCAGAGGGGTGCAGGAGCTGTCCCCAAAGATCCTGTGGTCCTTCCCCCCAGCACGCTCATGCTGGCTGGACCCTCGAGGCAGAGCAGGAGCAGCTGAGCTGGGCTCTGTGTGCCAGGGCAGAGGGGTGCCAGGGCAGAGTGGTGCCAGGGCAGAGTGGCACCTCCCTGCCGTGAGCACGAGCCTGACCTGGCTGTCCTGCCTGGAATGACTCACCTCTGCCTCTGGGGATGCATTTCCCCCTCACTCTTAGCTCTGACCTGAAAATCTTGCAGTAAATAACGTTTTCCGAGCGGCGAGGGGGACGTGTTCCATTTCAAAGGTGAGGTGACTAATCCTTCCACTGTGTTAAGCACTTTGAGATCATCCCGTATAAAAATCACTATAAACATTTAATATTCTTATAGAAGTAGTGTCAGTGCTGGCTGCCTGGGAACCCGTCCCAGGAGAAAAGGGCAGAGATCAAGGAAGGTATTCAAAAGGATAATTAAATACTTAATAAAAGCTGTTAAATAGTGTGGGCCAGGACTGCAGCCAGCATAAATCACAATGGCTCTGTTGGTGGGTCTCTGCTGGTTTATATTAAAAGAAGCTGCTTTGGGGTGGCTTCTAAAAGCCTTTTAGATTTGCTGGTGTCATCACAGTGTCTTCTATAGTAGGGCAGTGTCAGGGCTGCTGGTTTTCAACACACCTAATGAGGAAACCAGGGCAAAAACATACTATTGGAAGTAAAATGCTTCAATGCAGAAAACCTGTTTAAAAATTCAGTATTGTGGAGTGTTTGTGTGCGTGACGTGCCGCTGACAGCCACTGAATTCATTCTTTTGGTGGGCAAAGAGACTGAAAAATCCTGCTGGACGCTTGTGGCAGTGGATGGAGGTGGGATTCTCCTGGGATCTGGTACCTGACAGGGCAGGAGGCACCCAGGGCAGGTCTGGCCCCGCAGCCTGGGTGACAAGAGCCTCAGCAGCCGTGTCCCCCGGAGGAGCAGCCCAGCTCTGCCTGCCAGCCACGCTGCTCCCTCCCCTCACTGAAATTCGGTGCAGCAGCCCAGGCTCTGGCAGCTGGCACGGGAGAGGCGTGTGTGTGCATGACGTGCCGCTGACAGACACTGAATTCATTCTTTTGGTGGGCAAAGAGACTGAAAAATCCTGCTGGACGCTTGTGGCAGTGGATGGAGGTGGGATTCTCCTGGGATCTGGTACCTGACAGGGCAGGAGGCACCCAGGGCAGGTCTGGCCCCGCAGCCTGGGTGACAAGAGCCTCAGCAGCCGTGTCCCCCGGAGGAGCAGCCCAGCTCTGCCTGCCAGCCACGCTGCTCCCTCCCCTCACTGAAATTCGGTGCAGCAGCCCAGGCTCTGGCAGCTGGCACGGGAGAGGCTTTCCAGCCCCCCTTGCTGGCCCTGCTCCTCCAGACACCCTCCACCAGGCCATATGCCACCCCTAATCCCGCGGCACACACGGGGAATAATTGGAATTATTCTGTATCCGATCTCAGCCTGCATTGTAAAACAAAGAGGCAAGCGCAGAGGGGCCGTGTAAGAGGAATAAGTGGGTTTAATTGAGGTCACGCTGATGTAACAAGTCTAGGAGCTAAATGAGGTGTTAAGTTAAAGTAGGAGATGGCTGAGGTTAACTCGCACATCCCTTGAAGTTGTTTTTCTTTCTACTTCTCTTTTTGGTACCTTAATTTTGTCAAATTAGTCTGGTTTAGATTCTGCAGGTTAAATTTAAGACTAATATATAAGGAGTGCTTTGGAAAATGAGTTTGTGACAAAACCCTGCTGCTTGAGAAGTGAACAAATGACCAGAAGAGCTTCTTGCCCAAAAATGAGGGTCTCTCCTGCTTGGTGCAGAGCAGCACATTCATTTTTTATGCAAAAAGTAAAAATCATGGAAACTCCAAGTGGTTTCTGGGAGCGCAGACTTACAGGGGTGCAGCCACACAAGCCCTGGGCATCTGTGTTGCACAGGCTGGGGGTGAGAAGGAGATGGGACTTGAGGTAAATCCATTTTGTGTGGCCTGGGAAGAGCAGCCATGCAGACAAGCCAGCATCTCCAAAGGATATTTATGGCATTCTCCATATAAATATGCACATGGGACACAGGCGAGAATATCACTTTTCATATCCTCACCACAAGTGCTGCTGCCATTAATCTGTCACAGCCATCCTTTAGGTGCAGTTTCAAGTTTGATGTAGTAAAGATATGTGAATTTGAAATTTTATTTCAGTGCTGTCGTGTGAGTACATAAAAAAGAAAAGAGTAAGGAAGTGTTTGTGTGCGAGCTGCGGCAGCGCATGCACCCAGCACGTGATTCCCGAAAACGTGGATTGCAGGGAGCTCATAATGCTACATTCCAGAAACGCTGAAATATTCTAAAATTTTATTTATCCTTATCTTGAGAAATCACATTCCTGTCACATACCATAAATTCAGCTTTTTGGCCGTCTCCTGGCTGTACATTTAATTTTTGTGGGAAGTTCTTTGTTTTGTCAAAGGGGTTGACTAAGCTCACAAAATTAACCTCGTGCTCTCAACCCTTTTGCTTCTCTTTCCAAATGCAACAAAAATCCCCACCCCTGTAAAACACTCTGAGAAAACCATTCTGTTTCCATGACACCCACGATTTGCACTGAATCCTCCATAACTAAGGGTTCACGCAAGTGGCTCTCAATATTCCTGACCAGGGTTTCATTTTGGTCCATGACTTAACTGCATTAATAATTTAAGGTAATGCTCAGTGTCCACTGAAGTCAATGAGACTTAAGCTCATGAAAAATAAGTTTGCTGAATTAGGGTGGAAATAGAATTATGTTGGTCTGCCCTGCAGCCAGGAGTGACTGGTTGAGAGGGGATGAGTTCATTTGATGTGCACAGGAAATTAAAATTGACCTTCAGATCACCGATTTTTGGAGGAAAAAAAAAAAGAAGCAAAGCTCTTAAAAATGGAGCCTTTGACTGTTGGAAAGGTGTGAGGTCTATTTATAGCAAGGCATGCCATTTTGGTACAGTGCTCAGAGTTATTTAAAGTCGATGACAGCGTGTCTGCCCCTCCGAGGGAGCAGTTTCTGGGAGGTGAGGTCAATCGGATCAGCCACTGAGGGGAAAAGCATGAAATTATCCCAGGCAGTGAGCAGAGGCCGGGTGAGGAATGGGGAATTCTCCCAGCAGAGCACGGTGGTTTTCCTGCTGCTGGTTTTCCTGCTGCTGGTTTTCCTGCGGCTGGTTTTCCTGCTGCTGGTTTTCCTGCTGCTGGTTTTCCTGCGGCTGGTTTTCCTGCTGCTGGTTTTCCTGCTGCTGGTTTTCCTGCGGCTGGTTTTCCTGCTGCTGGTTTTCCTGCTGCTGTTTTTGCTGCTCCCAGTGCATGCTGCTGGTTTCCTGCTGCTGGTTTTGGTGCTCCCAGTGCGTGCTGCTGGTTTTCTGCTGCTGGTTTTGGTGCTGCTGGTTTTGGTGCTCCCGGTGCGTGCTGCTGGTTTTGGTGCTGCTGGTTTTGGTGCTGCTGGTTTTGGTGCTGCTGGTTTTGGTGCTGCTGGTTTTCCTGCTGCTGGTTTCCTGCTGCTGGTTTTGCCTTTGTTGTTTTTGGTGCTGCTGGTTTTGGTGCTCCCGGTGCGTGCTGCTGGCAGCAGCTCTGCGGAGGAGCTCTCACCCCGCGGGTGCGAACCCCAACATCCACGCAGCGCTCTGTGAGCTCAGCTCCTGGAGCTGCTCCAAGTGCAAACGCGCTCCCTCGGTCCCCTGAGTGCTCCGGGAGGGGATGGATGGAGCGCTGAGCACCGTGCCTGCCAGGGGGACAGGAACACAGGGCTTGTTTGGGAATTCCTCCCGCCTCCTGCAGCTCAGCGGCAGCAGAACGTTCAGCTGAGCCTGGACGGGGTCGGCTCCAAAGCAGCACTTTAATCACAGGACATTTACTGGGGTCACCCGTGAGCCTTGCCAGCCTCAGCCTCTCTCTGGAGGCGTTATCGCTGCCGCTGGCACGTGTAGGATTTTCCATTTGTCTCCAAGGCAGATTCTATCTGGTGCAGGCAACTGATATCACCGGCCACGGCGTTTGCCCAGGAACAGAGAACACTGCCAAGGCAGGCGTCACAAACACCTCTCTTTTCACATGTGAGCACCTCTCCCTACCCTTCCTGCTTGTTTCTTGACCAAGAATGGGTTCCCCATCTGTGCTTTTTTTATAGGACAATCTCCCTGGTTTCCATGTTATCCTCCAGAGCCCAAAGAGAGCACTGGCACCAGCAGAAATGCCCGGCCAAGGCTGGAAGGCAAATCCAGCCCCTGCACACTGGGGCAGCCCAGGGGGGTCTGGGCACAGCCCGCAGTGTCCTCGTGCCCTCTGCCAGCACTGGGTACCTCCCTGCCCTTCCCACCTCTGCATCAGTGCAGGGAGTTACCATCCAGCTCAGAACTCACAGACCATGATTTATCTCAAGGGGGTTTGTGGATAAGCCCCTAGTGCAGATCAAACCCCACCTCTGGCTGCAGTCACCTGCTGCCAGGCTGGCAGGGCTGGAGGATGGAGGGGTGGCAGGTGGGTGTGTGCAACAGCCAAACACAGCCCTGATGCTTTAGGGAGCCCAAAACTGGATGTCAGTTATTTCCTCAGTTACCTTCAATGTTTCAAGTCGAAGCCCTTGCACATTTTTCTTCCTAAAAAGTCATAAGTAATGACTTAACAAATCAGTCATTACTTATATCTCATTGCCTGTTTTCCCAGGAAGAGTCTCCATGATCTCCCTTTTTGGCAAGTGTGTGGCAGAAACCAGGGATTATCCTGACCCTGGCTCAGCCTCCCCCACCACCCTGCCCCAGGATCCTGTAGTTGAAAAGGGAATATAGGGGTTTGGATGGACAAAAACATATTGGTGGCCATGAAGCATCATGAGCTTGTTCTGGGTTAAATGAACCGTTTTGTTTGACCTGAAATGACTTCTGGCATTCTTGGAACTGCCAGAACACTAAGAAGTCATTTAGTTGCACAGCCTTAATTAAGCAACTGCCTCCAGTTATGATTTACTCCATCATTCAGAAAATTAGATCTTCACACTGTTCCTAATTTTTGCCAGAGTCCTTCAGGACAGCGTTTACCAAGATCAGCTGTAGTTTGGGGGATTCCAGCTTTTAGATGCTGAGCCTGGAATGCAGTCAGGGTTCCAGAAATGTCTCTGCAGATCAGAGCTAAAGGAGCTCTGAGGAATTGTTGCTCCTCTCCTACAAATCCTGGGCCGGCTATCTTCATTGCAATGTGGCTGTAAACTGCATTTTGGTGCTGAGGGCAGTTACAGCTATGCACATCCCAATTTCTTACCCACCTTTTGGAGCTCACCCTAAAATGAGCTCCAAAATTGATTTTATTGAAGAGCCACGTGTGCTGTGGATGAAATGAAATCTCCTGCATAGTCCCAGTGCTCCTCATACATCATCCCAATTTCTTACCCACCTTTTGCAGCTCACCCTAAAGTGAGAGCACTTTGATTTTATTGAACAGCCACGTGTGCTGTGGATGGAATGAAATCTCCTGCATAGTCCCAGTGCTCCCCATACATCCCTGCCTGACATTCTGCACTGGATCACAGAATCACAGGATGGCCTTGGTGGGGGGACCTGAAAGTCCATCCAGTTCCAACGCCCCCAACACCTCCCACTGTCCCAGGTGCTCCAGCCCCAGTACCCAGCCTGGCCTTGGGCACTGCCAGGGATCCAGGGGCAGCCACAGCTGCTCTGGGCACCTGTGCCAGGGCCTGCCCACCCTGCCAGGGAAAAATTTCTTCCTGCTATCTAATTTAAAACTGCCCTCTGGCAGTGGGAGCCACTCCCTGTGTCCTGTCCCTCCATCCCTGTCCAAAGTCCCTCTCCATCTTTCCTGCAGCTCCTTCAGGCCCTGCAAGGCCACACTGAGGTCAAAGCTTCTCCTCTCCAGCTGTGCCAGCCTTTCCTCCCAGCAGAGCTGCTCCATCCCTCTGCTCATCCTGCTGCCTCCTCTGGACCCTCTCCAGGTCAAAGCTTCTCCTCTCCAGTTGTGCCAGCCTTTCCTCCCAGCAGAGCTGCTCCATCCCTCTGCTCATCCTGCTGCCTCCTCTGGACCCTCTCCAGCAGCTCCAGGTCCCTCCTGAGCTGAGCCCAGGGCTGGGGCAGCTCTGCAGGTGGGGGTCTCACCTGAGCAGGGCAGAGGGGTAGGATCCCCCCTTGCCCTGAGACAAAAGAGTTTGTTGTGCCCTGTGAATTCCTGCAGGGCTGCTCTAACACCAGTGCTTGTGTGCATTTATATGTACATAAATACACATAAATTAAATACAAGTTAATATATATATTCAATTAAATAAATACACAGTGCCACATGTGTATTTATAAATGTGTGAGTGTGTTAAGAAAGCCTTCAGAATGGGAGAGACAGAAGGCTGGGGTATGTCTAATGGATTGCCATAATCATAGATTCTGATTCATACTCATCATCTGAAAACAGCCAGCCAGAAGATGAAACAACTTCACATCAGTAAATACACATATACTAAATTAAATACAAGTTAATATATATATTCAGTTAAATAAATACACAGTGCCACATGTGTATTTATAAATGTGTGAGTGTGTTAAGAAAGCCTTCAGAATGGGAGAGACAGAAGGCTGGGGTATGTCTAATGGATTGCCATAATCATAGATTCTGATTCATACTCATCATCTGAAAACAGCCAGCCAGAAGATGAAACAACTTCACATCAATCAAACACTAAATGAATATGTTATTAAGGATATTGTACACTACCAAAATCACCACGTGAGCACTGTCTGTGTTCAGTGCCTTCCATGGGCAGAGCAGTGCTGTCAGACAGGGGTCACTGCCTGAAACAAAGCAAAGCAGGGAGGGAGGAACGTTCCCCGCACACTGCTCTCCTGTTTCTCTGTTCAGTGCTGGCTGCTCTCCTGGGGAAATGCTCCAACACGTGCCCCCTGCCCTTGCCAGCAGCCAGCAGAGCCCTGCCCTGCCAGCCCTGCTGGCCCCCTCTCGCTGCCAAGGGCAGCTGAGGCTCCAGCCCCGTGCCCCCCGGGTTTGTCAGGGCTCCTGTGCCCGGGAACAATCCCTCTGAGTGCCAAACCCGCAGCCCTGGTACCCAAAGCAGCGCCACACAGCTGCCCCAGCTGGGCCCTCGCTGGTGGCCCCAGGGAGGGAGAGACAAAGGCGACTCCTGGCTCCTGAGCAAAGAGAAAGATGCTGAGAGCACTGAGGTGCTGCAGGCTCCGGAGCGCAGGAGCTCCGGGAAAATCAGTGCAGGTGTCAGGATGGCTGGAAGAAGCCACGGAGCAGTGGTGCTGGGGCAATCAGAGCACAGTGCAGCCTCCTCTGGGACCTCTCTTCCACCTCCCCAGCACGCTGCTCCTGTGGTCCCTGCAGGGCTGGGGCATGAATGGTCTGCAGAGCAAAGACTGGAGGAATAAGAGGCTGGATCCTCTGCTGTTAAAATCAACAGGGGATAAACATCACAAATCCTCTGGACTTGGGGAAATGCGGTTCAAACAACCAGAGGCAGAGAGCACACATTGCTTTGGGAAAAAAAAAAAAAAAGGAGTGACAGGAAAAGCTGCGCACAACAGTGGCATCTGAGATGGAGAGAGCACAGCCAAGCTTTTCTCCTGCTGGAGGTGGAAAACGCTGCCCAAATGCTGTGAGCCGGGGGCAGGAGGCTGGGAAGGACCACATGAGGTGGGAGCTGCTGTCCCCGGGCAGGCAGAGTGTCTGGAGTGAGAGCTTTGGACTCCCAGAGCCACGCGCGCCTCGTTAGCGCTCGGCACCTTACCTTGTCCTGCTTGCTTAATTAAAACGTGACGTGCTGCAACTCGGAGGCTGTACAGACACCCATTACCGCAACACTATTACCTTTATCAACCAAGCTCATCACCTCATTAAAATAAGATGTCAATTCGGCTTGACAGGATCAATTTCCAGTACACCCTCCCTGACTGGCTTTATTTATATTACACTTCCTCAGTTTATTAATTAGAAAAGTAATTTTTGCCGTTCTGATTCTTGCTAGATACTGATTTTCCTTATTGCCTCAATATTATTCTGAGTTTCTACCCCTCTTGCTATTAGTTTTCCCTTTATCCCATTTTTTTTTTTCCATTAAAATCTCTGCAGTTTTCCTGCAGGTCAATTGAAGGTTTTTTTGCCTGGTATTTTTTAGGCACTATCACTTCCTTTTCTGATCATACCATACAGTGAGTGACCTCTGAAGGACTTCGGGATGTTTTTATAAAATGGATTATAACTGTTTCCACAATTTTAATGATTTGTTTACATTACAAAGCCTGGACTTCATCTTAACAACACCTGTTATCACCAGCAGGCTGTGATCGCAGGAATCTCAGCTCCCACCCAGTTCTGGGGTGTTAGAAATTTCTCCTTAATTGCTCGGCGAGTCCTGAGGCAAAGTGTCCGTGTGTCACCATGAGAAGTGCCTCTCCTGCTGGCACTCCTGGGGTACCCACAAACACAGCATCGCTCAGTTTGGGGACCCCTGCACGTCCTCAGCTCCGGCCTCTGACCCTCGCCAGCCTGGTTAGAGAGTGCCCCTTCTGGGTGTTCTTCCAGCACCTCCAGCCGTGCCTGTCCCAGTGCCTGACCACCCTGCGGTGAGGAACTTTTCCCAAATTCCCAGCCTGAGCCTCCCCTGGTGCAGCTGTTTCCTCTCGTCCCCCGGGAGAAGAGCCCCGGCCTCACCCCCTCCCTTCAGGAGATCTGTGCTCCCTCAGACAGCAATTTTATAGCACCTCATTTTAGGGGAGGTTTTTCTGTCGGTGTTTTGGTGGAGCCCTCCTCCCCCCAGCTCCTGCAGAGTCCCTGCCAGGGACCCGTGAGGCCAGCTGGGATCCTGTGCCCACCCCAGGCTTGCAGGGGGAGAGCATCCTTGTGCACAGGGGGACGGGAAATGGCAGGAAAGTAGGAATTAGGAGTAAAATAAGAACTGTGTTTTTATTGGAAAGAAATAGGGTTTCTGTTAATTGCTAAGATTTTGCACTGGACCAGAATTTATTGCATTTTTGGTTTCCTGTTAGTGTAGGGTTTGACATGTCAGATTGTAAGTAGGAATGACAATATATTCACTGGGATGTAAATATAATAAATAAAACATGTTGCCACTGGGATTATCAGAAATAATAAAGCACTTGACAGAAAACCCCAAAAGTATCTCTCCCCTTGACCTTCCAAAGGATCTGGGCCGTTTTACCTTGGCTATTTGATCTTGTTTCTTGTGTTTAAAGTGTGACATTTCACTAAAGCTGCCCCTGCGGGACTAATTGTTGCTGGGGATAAAGACAACTGCAAACTCTGAGGTAGTGGATGGGTAAAGCAACACAAATCCTTTTGTGTCAGTGAATATCATGTCTGAAATGTGATAATGGATCTGATTTTGTATCGTTTAGGAGCACAAAAGGGGGTTTTACTGCTTGAATTAACACACGAGGTGGTATTAAAGCTTTTCATTTAAACTCATAGTCAAATGGATATCCAGAAAACTCTACTTTTATTGGTGATGCTGTGCATAAAATTATCCAGGCATCACAGGGAAGAAGTGTGAAATCAGCCCAAAGTTTCCTCCCTGAATTTATGCCTCTTCCTTTCCAGAGTGTGCAGCTGTTTAACAGTGACATTTAATAATGTATTGGAATAATTGCTGGAGTTTACTGCTCATTACTTCTTTAAAACCCCGGGAATACAGTAACAGTTCTTTGATTTTTTTTTTTAATATGAAAATAATTTTCACTATAAAGGTTGAAGGAAAACACATGCTCTGTACTTATAATTTGATAAAGTCGTTGCTGTTCCTCCGCTGTATTTTAATTCCTAAAATTATCATTTCAGTTGCAGTTGTGCAGGCTCTAGAAAGAGGACTTGAAAGGCGAGTTATTAATTTTTG